AACTTCCTGTTCACCGCAAATTTTCCGAGGGTATAGTTTCTTAATCTCTGATATTACGGCACTAAAAGAGATGCAAATACCGAAAAATGGTGGCTCAATTTTTTTTAAAAATAAATATATTTTTTTAAATTTCCATACTTTAATAACTCGATTGGACTTATTTGAAACTCGATAAAGAGAAATTATGTTTAGCATATTCATTTTAGTAACATTTTAAACAACAATTTAGACTTGGCTTTTAGTTCTCAGACTTGGTTTTTAGTCCGTCCCCGTCCAGAGAAAGACATTTTACAATAGTTATTTTACAAATTGGTGTTTATCTGTAAAAGCAACTAACGATTATACTGATGCAAATTGATTAGTTAGTTATGGAGTCACTAAGGCTCTTACGTCACTTTAGTTACAAGATTAATTTATAAAAACCATTTAATTTTTGCTAATCAAATCTTTTTTGAACTCTGATCGGGACCGGCCCACCGGCCCATCTTGCCACCGGCCCACCGAGAATTTTCCCGTTTTCCCATATGGCCCATCTACCCCTGGGTCAGGATTAAAACAGACATTAACGTCAACGCTCGGGCGAAGTCGTTACATTGATATTGTTCATTTTTTTTATCAGCAGCTAACCTAAGATTTAAGAAAAAAATAATTTTTGAACACAATCGAGACATAACATTTGTATAAAGATATATTATAAATTAACTGGGTAAGTCGACTATACCCTGCTGGCAAGCGAAACCTTGGGTCGGCGTTTACACGTATAGAAGTGAATCGCTATGGCAATCTAGTAAGTCGGAGAGAGCAAAAATACGAAGTATTTATTACATATATAATCACTTAATTTGACGCTAGATTCCATGCGCTTGGAAAAATACTTGCCTTCTGTCTTTATTCAGTACATCTTAATTTAATAAGCGTGTGACCGTACTCTTCGTACACACGAAAATCGGCACCCAAGACCAGAAATGGCGACCCTTAGTATACTTTTCAAGCCATATTGTGTGTTATTTCCATCTTATAAACTAGGCATGAAATATCTAAGACAATATGGCATAACCGACTGAGAGAAAACGTCAAAATTTCTCAGTAATAAATTATTATTTAGCCGGCGTAATTTCGTATCTGACTTTTTAGGTTTTTAAATATTAACCGAGGTAAAACGAAATTCATGTTTCTGCTGCGGCACCCTTATCATTGTGTCAAATTTATTCCCAGATTTGCCACCCCTTTAATCTGTTAATTTAGAAGGCTTAACCTTGGTGATGTTTTATGCAATATTTCACTACTTAAATTTTCGTTTACTGAATATTTCAACTATGTTTTAAATCAAATTGATATGGAGGCTGGGCGCACACAGATAGAGAAAAACAGTTTTAGTAAAAACCGTTTTTGTCATAGAAAATATGGTTTTTTTCTTTTATAAAAACATTATGTTTCGAAGAAAAGAAGATTGCTGAACATTTACAATGAAATATGCACGGCAGCAGATACAGAACGAATCGCGACTAATGAACAACAACCAAATGAGCAAAACTTCTTTCATGTGTCGCCTCAATGCAAATTAAATGGGCTGATTCACACTGATTAGTCGTGAGGTTTAAGACAGATTTAGGAACAATTAGTCACAGCTGATTGACATCGATCGATAGATCTACTCTGTTTAACGGCTCAGGTAAGATTTCGACAAACATACCCATAATAAAAAAAGTTTCTAATATTTTTTAAGTTAACTATTATACAGGGTGGGCCAATGGAAACTTTCCACCCCAATTTTTCTCGTTTAAAATTAAAATTTGGAAAAACGCTTCGACACGTCGATTTAGTTTTCGAGGGGGAAAAGAAAATATTATAAAATCACTTTCACACCTATAACCCCAAAGGCTGAGGCGGCGCCCCCTAAATTCTTGTAAGGGGGGAGTGATATTATGTAGAAAGGTCTTTCAATTCCTTTCTAATGATATAAGATATCATGTACTTTCGTTCAGTAGTTTTAGAGATTTATTGATATAGAAGTAGATTTTATTTTATCAGCTAAGTGGTGAAAAATCGGTTTTATTTTTCTTTTCTCTCTCTGTATGTATTTTTTTTGGCAAACTATGTTTTACTAAAAATTTTAATTATTCAATCTGCATCGATCCACGCCCAAAAATCTTTCAATTCGAATAAATGAAAAATGCTCTCAATTTTGGCCGGGAAAATTTTTAGAAATTTTAAAAAATAAAAAAAAATTAAGCTTTTTATTTAAAAGCTTAATTTTTCAGTATACATAGTTTGCCAAAAAATACATACAGAGAGATAAAAAATAAAAACGATTTTTCACCACTTAGCTGATAAATTAAAATCTACTTTAAATCAATAAATCTCTGAAACTACAGAACGAAAGTACATTATATCTTATATCATTAGAGAGGGAATTCAAAGACCTTTCACATGAGGTATCACTCGGCCTCCTTTTTCAATTTAAGAATTTAGGGGGTGGTTTGGTCAATTTAAGAATTATAGGTGTGAAAGTGATTTTATGATATTTTCTTTTTCCCTTGAAAATTAAATCGACGTGTGTCTGGGCGTTTCCAAATTTTAATTCTGAACGAGAAAAATTGGGGTGGAAAAATTTCCATTGGCCCACCCTGTAGATATAGATAGGTTTATATACAGGGTGTTTCAAAAAACATGTGCCATCTCTCGTAGGGAGATTCCTCATGTAAAAATAAGATTTATTTTTCATATCAACATAGGTCCGATTCTGTTTTGTTTCGTAGCTACAGGGTGTTAAAGTTTTAATAATCTTTCGATTTATTATAATTTTGTTCCACGTACTTTTAGTGATTCGAATGAAATTTTGAGGGCAAAAGTTACTATAAGTGCTACATATTTTAATGTTAAAAAAGTGTCGATAAATTCATCAGGAACGTTCATATGGGTTATCACTGGAATATTTTTCAAAAAAAATCATGTGCGCCACTGACTTTTTTCTTTTGATATAAAAATTGTGCAGGCCGTTTAATGCCAATTAAAAGTTGCTCCTTGATGAGATAAACGCAATTTTATTAATTACAATTAATAAAATTAAAAATAAAATTAATAAATTAATAAATTATATTTTACCTAATTAAATATTATTACCATTAGTTATTATTACTATTAGTCCAACCTACAGCAGTTTCAAATAAAAAAATAATGGTATTTAAGATAATTACAAAAAAAACTAATTTTAAAAAGTTTTCAACTCCAAATCTATGCATTTCCATATCCATGTTTATAGGAACTTTTTTTCATATATTTTTATGAGGAATCAAGCCATATTGCCAGTACTTATTTAAAAGTTGAATTGAAGTTGAATTTACAAATTGAGTACTTATTTAAAACATTCGCAAGTTAATAATATTAAAATTTAAAATTAGGCTGCTATTAGACTTGGATCAAGACAAATTAATAAAATTGAGGAGGCCGGAATCGACAAAATATCAAGAGACCACTTTTAATCAGCATTAAACTGCTTACACTACTTTGCTAACAACAGAAAAAAAGTCAGTGGCGTACATGCATTTTTTTGAAAAAAAAATCCATTGATAACCCATATGCACGTCTCTGGTGGATATGTCGATACTTTTTTAGGTTTAAAATATGTCGCATTTATAGTAACTTTTACCGTCAAAATTTCATTCGAAACACTAAAAGTACTTGTAATAAATCGAAGAAATATTAAGACTTTAACACCCTGTAGCTACGAAACAAAGCAGAATCGGACCTATGTTGATATGAAAAATCAATCTTATTTTTACGTGAGGAATCTCCCCACGAGAGATGGCACATGTAAAACACACTGTATAAATCCGTCATCTCTTGTTGTTTTTAACCACTCTTATTGGTTTATTTTAAAAATGTCAGATCATATTTCAATATGATTGGAGAGATGGAACGATGAACGACGCATGGCCACAGATGCGTATGAGCTCGACTTATGATTTTTGACACTTGTCAAACTCTTGCCAAATTATAGGTTATTATTTATGTCAAGTTATGTCATATATCCAATATCCGTCGTTCTGAAAAATGATAACTATCTACTCGTAGTTGCGAATTACCTTTGCATTTTCCTTTGCGTTATTACGTGTGTTTTGTGTTTTATAAAGTTAACTGTAGAAAAAATCGAGGGAAAATTAATTGTAGACCCAGAGCACAGTATATAGTAAATATTCGGTGCCCAGAGAGTTGTATTAGCTACCAATAAAGTTTGTATATCATTTTGTATATGGTGTTGAAAATTTGAGTAGCTATAAAATAAAGACATCACACGAAAGGTAAATGATAATAGATTTTAGAACTGTAGAGAAATAAGGTCAAAAGGTTTCAAAAAATTAAGATTAAAGTTAACTAACTAACTTTTAAGGTATAAAATTCAGTAAGCCTTTGTAAATTATTGAAATTATTATTAATAAGATATTTTGTTTTCTCTATGTTGTGTTTTATTTATTCTTGTGCAGTATTAAAACTATTTTATTTGTACACTGATAAATATAATAATAAACGCAGGTAGTTTTTTGAAGTTTGAAAGTAAGAAATAGTTTTTTTACAGATTTTTTGTATGTGGTGTTTTGTTTAACATTGACCCTTGTGCTTTGTAATAACATACATCGTTATTTTTTGAAATAAAATAACTCGAATAATTTTTTTCAGTTTATACAGCTTTTTTCATAATATTTTGAAGTAATCATTTGTCACACTAAAATTTTAAATATATTAATTTCCTGCTTTCCAATTGTACGAACTTAGTTCTTTGTAAAATAAAATAAATTACTTTTAAATTAAAATGGCACATCTATCAGTGTCAAGGATTTTTGGACAAACTATAGGGTGGTGTTTATTTGGATTTTTTTGCCTATCATTGCAGTACCGATCACTGACCAGAAATTTACAATAAAGAATAAATATATTTTATTTAAAAATATGACAAATAACATCTACAATAAATTTATCAATATCTTGTATATTTCTTTTACCTTTTCTGGTGTATTGTTGTCCCGTGGTGACATGCCAGGAGATGAACAATTGCCCACCGCTGGTATTCCTAATTCGTATATATTGACCATATGGGCTGCTTGCGCGTGTACCATGAGATCCCATGCATTCTGGAACGCGTCTTTGCACTGGACACAGAGTAACGATGCCGTGGATTGCTCATCCAGTGATGATTCTAAATAATAAAAAATAAAAAAAATGTTTAAAAATAATTTTAAAATATATATTAAAATATATTCCTAAAACGTGTAATACAAAATTCTCTAGCGTAATGTTCTAATATTTATTTTGTTTCTTGCTGTTCAGAATTTGATCATGTATGTATGAAATGTCTGTACAAAATTCTATATCGTGTAATTTTTTAATTAAAATATAAGTTCGGCAATAGTGCGTCGGGCATCTGTAGCTCCTAGAATAAAAAACTTGGAATTTTGTTTAAGTGCAAATCTAAATTATGTACTAGGATGTATTCAGGAAAATATTTTAACTTTAACAAGGTGGCTCAAAAAAGTGTGAGTGGTTCGGAATTATTTCTATTAAATGGAACACCCTGCATATTATTGCATTTTTGGTTTCCTTTCAGATCACTTTACATAATCCTAAAATATGATATGTGTAATTATATTTGGATAGGGAGTTTCGATAGATATTAATAAATAATTAAAAAATATATATTTTTCAGCTTTTCTTAAAAAAATTATTAAAAATACAAGAACTGTCCTGAAATCGAAACTTACTAGGTATTTACTTTAGATGGTCTGTATTTACTTTGCTATAAATATCGTAATTTTAAATCATACAGGATGTTAAAAATTCTCCGACAAATTTTCTAAAATATAAAATATTTTTTCTTCATTTTTTTAAATGGAACACCCTGTATATTATTTTTTTAGTATTTCATGCGGCATTTTCCACAGTAAATTTTCATCAAAGCCAGTCAATGATTTTTCTTTCGTATTTTACCGTTGAAAGAGCCATATGAAATAATATCGCGAATATCTGCGAAACTGGATTCCACTGGTGGAATGGAACATTCCACTGTTGGAATGTACATTTTCGTGGCAGTCGCTGGCAGTCATTGGCAGTCTTACTGCAGTCGCCTATAATAATTACATGGCAGTCTTAGGCAGTCTTCTTCGCAGGCATTGGCAGTCGCTTGGCGGTAAAGTGATATTTTGGCAGTACATGTACATTTTTTGCCCAAGTGAGACACACCTCGACTCTAAATTAAAAAAAATGTTCATTTATTAATTCTCTATCTAATAAAAAAAATTATACAGGGTATTCCATTTAAAAATACGAAGAAAAAATATTTTATATTTTAGACCGGTGCATGATTTGAGATTACGATATTTATAGCAAAGTAAATATAGACTATCTGAAGTGAATATATAATATAGTTTTGATTTCAGGACAGTTCTGATATTTTTTATAATAAATGTCTATACCTATGTGGCGGATTCATCTTTCCAAAAAAATCCTTTATGGGTATTTCGCCACTGCACTGCAAAAAAATCTACAAAATAAAATAATTATTTTTGTAAACACTTCTGCGTTAAACCTAAAAGGACGCTGCTTCTCAGAAGTTATGTTTATAGTAATACAAATTTTCATAACAAACAAAAAAAAAGTAAAGTGTTCTCGAATAGTTGAAATATTTTAAATAGTTTTTTTCTTTATTCTTTGTATTTTTTTGCTTCCGACGACGGAAAGAGATAACTTTCCGAAACGTTAAGCATTTTTTTTTCTTTGTTAGGCAAATTTTTATTACTGTAAACACAACTTCTGACAAGCAGTGTCCGTTTAGGTTTAACGCAGAAGTGTTTACAAAAAATAATTATTTTATTTTGTAGATTTTCTTGCAGTGCAATGGCGAAATACCCATAAAGGATTTTTTATAATGTTTTACCATTTTTTTATTCTAGGAGCTACAGATACCAGATGCACTATTGCTGTGACCTTGTATAAAAAAAAAACAATATCAATCATAGTTAAGTCGTCGTCAGTAAAATTACTAATTTCACAAATTTTCAGAGAAAATCACTGCAACTAACTCAGTCAGAGTTATCCAAGTAATGTGCCTCGAATATGAACTCGTTATCTCCAGGCCAATTCACTGTGTGGTAAACCTAGGAGTGACCGAAGACGTATTATCAATAAACGGCATACTATCTATACCTACTTAACTAATATGGTGAAACCCTACTATAGAGACCATGGAAACATGTCTTGGGATTTCGAGTATCGGTCTTGAGAAGACGAATACTTGCAAAAGGCTTGGTGTATCATCGACCAATAAGAGTCTCCAGACTAAATCCTGAACACAGAGATAGCCGGCTGAAATGGGCCCAAGACTACGGGGGCCCGAGACTACGGGCCCAGTCTGACGCTGCATTGGCCGAAGAATTTTGGAAATCGGTATTTTTTTGCGACGAGACTAGAATTATCTATTAGGTCTTTATCATTATTAAAATATTACTTTTAAAAATTATTATCATTAAAATAAAATAGATAAACAAACAATTGAATTTTTTTTCATTAAAAATAACCAATTAATTAGTCTTTATTCTTGTCATAACGAAAGGAAGTTTATTTTCGAAGATTTAAGGTGATGCAAAACTTTTGAATATCTGTGTATATTTAATAGTAAGTTTTTAAAGAGGTTTGAATATTTTACGCGAACTAGTACGTTTTCGGAATGTAATTTACTCAAAAGTTGGAATGGAAGAATAGATTTTATTACGCCATTTAATATCCCTGCAGAGTAGACTGGAATGTGATATCATTAATTTATGGTCTGCACAGGTGGTGTTAAATAAGTTCAAGCTTTATTACTTTAAAGGTTCTTATGATTAAACTTCTCAAACTACAATTTGCCAACAGACATAAAATTTATACGTATATGAAATTGTCTCAAAACATATGAATTTTGGATCATATCTACTTGAAATCTTAACTTGTGTTTTGATAATATTATTGTGGTACTTACTGGATTTCCTGGTTTCACATTTACATGTAAATCGAAGTTTGCAGTAAGTCTTTTTGTGTTCGAGTAGATCGTGCAGTTCTGAGAACATCTCTCGGCAGTTGCCACAGATGAGAATATCCTGATTACCTGTAATACAAATAATAAACTCATAGAAATAAGTTCTTCTATTCGGTAGTTCTAAGTAGTAAAGAAAAATAATTTTGAAGCAAAAATTTGATAATTGTTTTTTTTTGTCCACATACAGGGTGATTCAAACATATTTTTAAACCAAAGTTTATTAAATTTAAATCAGAAATACAATCTTGTAGTAAACTTACCATAATATATTTAGTAAAAAATGACGCCACATCACGTGACTTCTTGTGAGGCTGATGCGTGTTAAGTAATCGACGTAGTTATAGTCTAAGATATAAAAAACCTTATCATCGTTACATGGCTAATTTTTCTTTTGAAGTCTCCTTATGTGTAGCCATTACGAAATAGTCATGTCTGGCAGCGCGATCCCGGGGCTTAAAGCGGGGGCGGCTAACCGAAAGGGTGAAATTTTGACACTAAAAATATTATAAGGTACACGAGTTATAATTGCGAAAATAGCTTTTATTTATTATCAAGGAACGTGAAAAATTGTTGGCAGACATTTTTCTTGTCGCTAAAATGCCGGCAGACAACGCGAAAAAGGCATGAAATTTTGGATAAAAAATATGGCTCACATGCATGACGATTTGTGACGATTATTTTATTATTATTTATTCATTTTAAAAGCCGTACGCAAAAGGGCAGACAAAAAGATCGTGGCTAAATCAGCGACAGACAGTTATCAAAAGTGCGATATTACTTTAGTAATATCGCTTTATTAGCGCTTTCAGGAAACGCTCCCCGCCTTGAAAATCGTGCATTTTTTAAAAATTTTCCTTTATATTATAGAAAACTTTGTAGAACTGTCTGTTCACCGCAAATTTACCCTCGGTATAATTTTTTAATTAAATTTTTTTAGTTACGACACTAAAAGAATGGATGCAAATACTGAAAAAAAAACAGATGACTCACAAAATTATTTAAGAATAAATTTTTCTAAAAATGTCTTTTTAAATTTTCAAACTTGAACGGTTATTTTGGACTCATTTGAAAAACGGTAAAGGGAAAAAATATTTCTTTTGTCTAGATACAAGCCCTGAACATATTTGCACTTATCCAAGACTCACCCTGTATAGTAATATCGCGCTTTTGATAACTCTCTACCGCTGATTGAGCAACGATTTTTTTTGTCTGCCCCTTTTGCATACGGCTTTTTAAATAAATAAATATGACAGTCCACCAATGGGCATGCATGTATGCGATTATTTTTTTTGTCAAAATTTCATGCCTCTCTCGCGTTGTCTGCCGGCATTTTAGCCACGAGAAAAATGTCTGCCAACAATTTTCGCCGTTTCTTAATAATAAATAAAAACTATTTGGTAATTATAACTCGTGTACCTTATAATACTTTTAGTGTCAAAAATTTCACACTTTCGATTGGTCTCCCCCGCCGTAAGCTCCGGGATCGCGCTGGCAGACATGATTATTTCATAGTGGCTACACAAAAGGATACTTCACAAGAAAAATTAGCCATGTAACGATGATAAGGTTTTTATGTAGCCAGCTCTCTCCGTCTATTAGAGGGAACAACGAACGACGAAGAACATTTTAATCTAAGCAGTTTTTTGAACAGACGACGGGTCTCAGTGCGTGGTTGATTAGCGTTTTTATAATTAAAGGTAAGTATATTATATTAATAATTATGTTTCTATGTACATTCTGTAAATATAAAACCCGCTCTCTTAGAAAACGATCTTTTTTTATTATAAATTCAATTATAATTATAACAATTTATTGTAATTATAAAATAGTATCGTTCCATGATTTCTCTATATCAACATATTTCCAAGTATTTATTCATTCTTTCAGGCTGTGTTTAGGAGGACAAATTTAATAGAGGACCGGAGTAGAGGATTCTATTCATTATACATCCATAGTCTCTAAGTTGGTAAGTTGACTGTTTGATTAGATACCCTTATCTTGCATGTTTTTTTTATTTTGTATGTAATGGCAATTTTTCCTATTTTAGTTGGGCGCAGGATTCCACTAAGGTTCTTCTAGACAAGCAGAGTTGCAATGAGTATCTTACATACATAAGTCCTGCTTTGTGACCTTATATTAACCTTTATAATGGTCTTTATAAAAAATATTATAATTATAAACACGTGTTTTATTAAATTTATTAATATGAACGCTTTGTGAATTTACAAAAGTTATTGTAAATTCACTATAATAAAATGTTTTTCTTGTTACTCTATAGTAATATTACAAGAAGTTGGCGATTTTAAAAGATAAATTTACAATGAATAAGTATAAAAATTATATACTAAAAAATTTACTATGAGATACGCAATTTTTAAATAAATTCACAAAGAATATTGGTGAATATAAAGATATACTATAACATATATATTTACATACATACATGCCAAACAAATTAGCCATACAGCGATTTTACAAACGAGTTGTAAAATTAAAGAACGGATGGTAAATTTACTACAATAATCTGTGGCAAGAAATAACCCTCAATATTGCTATTAAATTTACAAATTAATTTTTTCAGTGTACCAGTTGACAAAAAACTACAATAGATTCGACTGGTAATTATAAAGTATAAACTAAAACTAAGTAAATAAAGATTGTGGGCTTTTTCAAGAAAACGAGTCTGTTTAACTTTTCAGAGTCTTCCTCTGGTCTGGATGAATCATCGGATCGGAGAACGATTGCTTCATCAAAAGTTGGTCGGGGGTCAAATTGTTTTATCTTTCATCTTTAGTCTAACCTTGAGTGGATGAAACAGATATTAGATTATCACTTTGGATGATTGCTCCAAGATGATTATTAAAAGTGACAAATTTAGATTAGCCTTAAGTGTTTTTTTATTATCTATGGATAAAACTAATAATTTCTTATTAGTCGATCGAGTTAAATAATATCGATTTTCTATACTAGTAGATTGTTATCATACAGCGTACTGTAGACCTAGCAGACCTTATATCATTTAAAAAGGCGGTATAAATAATTCAATTATTTAACAAACAGTTGAATATACCTGGAAGAACATGCGTAAATTACAGGTACGAATGTCAAACAACCACATTTTCTTCTATAGAAAAGAAAAATTAATGGGAAAGTCCGAATACAGGACCTTTTATCCTTAATGAGGAATATAATTTTTCCCCTTAGAATATAATTAAGTGGTCTGCCAACACCTAACCGGGTTACACGTTAAACAGGGCCACGTTGTATTTTGCTTGCTTTATGAATACAACCAAGGATGGGTAAAAAAAATCATTATTGTTTGTTTTGTTGTACCGCATAATCGAAAAAAAGTGGCCTCAAAGACGGCTGGGGAATAATAATCGATGATAATTTTTGTGAGGATAAAATGTAGACGGTTATTTACTACTACCTGACGAAGAACCTTGTCTGCTAAAAGAAATGCCCAAATCGTATTTTAATCATATCTCAATTTTTTCAAATGGAACGAGTATGAGTTTTCTTTATGAATAATTTGCTACCTCACACTTAGTTTTTCGAATAAAGTTATCGTTAGATATGACTCGCATGTTACAGTTTCAAATAAGCCATATGCAAAAATGTTGAAAGTTGACATACTATATGTCATTCTATTCAGAGTGTCATTTTCTATCCAATAAAGTAAAAAAATACCGAGGGTGTCATTTAAAACTTAAAAATTGTAGCCAAATTTCCGGTGAAACAGGAAGTGACAGAAAACAATTGAATACGTCAATCCTGATTTATGTTATATACTAACGTACCAAATCTCGATTTTTTTATCTCAAAAATGAAAAAAGTTATAGGAGTGAGACACTTTTGAGAAACATCCGGTTCACGTTATGTGTAATAAACCAATACACATAGAATTAAGTAATTACATGTTAGAATTTGAATTAAAAAAAAAACATAAGTTTAGGTTATATTCTCTCCCGACAAAAAACTAGTTACGCCACTGGTTTCTACGTAAAAATGTCTACTGGCCTCAGTTTCCACCTTATTAAGTTATAAAATAACCAAGATATGAAGGGGGTCGAAAAATGCAACATATTCAATTTAGCCCTGTATTTCAAGAACTAAGAGGGCTAGGAGAAATCTGTGTGTAGCATCTTTAGTTTCATAAAAAAGTAGCAAGTGATGTAAAAACCGCATCTTTGTATCTCTACCCACAAGGGAGATACCCTGTAAAATACACGAAAATAGGGCATCCTGTACTGACTTGTAACATAACAATCAAAGAGATTCGCTAAGAAAACGACAGTCGAGAGTTAGACTGTTGTTCGCGAGCCGCTCGGCTCGACGATTATTTCCCGCCATTGACTAGCGAATGCTCGTTTTGTAACACGTTACATTACAACGTTCGGTACAAGTCACTCTCCGTCTTTATATTTTTCGAATATATTATTGGAATCTCAAATTTGGAACGCCCTGTACAGAAGATGGCACTGCAAGAAGAAGAAACAACTTTTTTTTACGTATGAAATATGAATTTGTTACAGTAACAAAATGTTATTAATTGGTTCATTACTTACTTATCACCAAAACATATTTTGTCTGTAAGTGAAACTAATAATGTAGCAAATTTTAATTAATACTATAATGTAGCAAATTTTAATTTGTTATTGTAATAAATCATGTAACAAATTAATTTCATACTCCATCCCTGGTACTAGAAAATATATTCTATCGACGTAGATTACGATAGACGATACCGTTTGACGTAGACAATGTCAATTTGATACAGTAACAAATTGCGTGATAAACTGTTATTATTTGGTCTAATATTTATCACAACAAAATATCTTGTCTGTAGGTGAAATTTTATGATGTAGCAGATATTAATTTATTACTGTAAAAAATTATGTAATAAATTAATTTCATACGCAACCCTGGTAGTAGAAAACACATTTCCACCTGCCTTATAAAAACATTATAATAAACGTTTCGCGCGGCTTAGCCGTCGTTTTCATTAAGGCGAATCGCGCGCTGCGACACCGGCCCTGACCATTGTCGCCATTTCTCTTTCGCATAAA